CCTCTACCTCCTTCGTCACATGGCCTTCCCTCTGTGTGTCTGGGTTTCTCCAAATCTCTCTCCTTATTAAATCCAGTCATTGGATCTAAGGCCCACCAGAATCCATTATGACCTCACCCTAACTTGGTTACATCTGCCAAGTCCCCATTTCCAAATAAGGCCACATTCACAGGTTTTGGGGGCTAGGGTTTCAACATGTCCGTTGGGGGGACACACAATTCAACCCACGAAACGGNGGACACAATTCAACCCACGAAACCGGTCTTTTTAAGTGTGTTCTTAAATGCCTTGATTGCTGGGCATGTAGGGAATGAACTACAGAATTTGAGAGTGCGTTTCTACCCGTGTGCCCAGTACCGTACGTGGACGCCTGGCCCATGGACACCCCTGGGCTCTGTTCATGCATCACTCTCCTCAGCTACCATTGTTGTGAATGTGGTTCTCTTTGCTCTAACATTTGAAGTTGGCTGCTTGTTTTTATGTCCTTAAGAGAATATTTCTGCCTTAATGGAATATTCCACCTGGAAGAGCTCAGACCTTCTCACAGCCAGGAGAGACTCCTCAGGGTTCTGGACATAGAACAAGAAGCCGGTTTTTGGCATAAGAGGAAACACTTAAGGGTCCTGGATGGCACTGGATGCTGTCTGCTCAGACACTGTCAGCACTGGGCTGAGGGGTTGAAAATAGATTCGGTGAAAGTGGTCCATGGTGCTGTCAACTGTGGGGACCCTTGTACATTTCCTGGCTGTGCTGAGCCCTCCTGCATCTCACTGGCGGAGTGCAAGCCTTGTGGCCTGAAGCCACAAGCTCCCTCATACCAGAAACACTTTCCTAAGCACGGAAATGAGGCTGCATGAAGAAGAAAGCTAGCCGGTGTTCCAGCTGCAGAACACGCTCGGTGCTTCCTGTAAGGGTTTGGAAAGCGTTAGATCCAGAGGGAGCTCTGCCATGTGGGCCACAGCACTGGGGAGCCTTTTATTTTATTTTCCTTTCCTTTTTTTTTTCTTTCTGCTGACAGGGTCTTGTGTATGGAAATGTGATCTTTAATTCCTTAAAAACCCATCTCTCTGGCGTCAGTTCCCCTTTTGAAGCCCTAATCTTCCTTGTAATGCTTTCTGGTCATCTTGACTCTAAGTAAACCGTACGTGTCTCAGATGGGGAAAATTATGTGGGCTTGTATGTGCCATTTGTGCATAAAAAAAGATGGCTGCAGTGGCTGGAAGTGAAGGCGTGGAGGCGGTCAATTTCCAGAGCCCATTGGAAATGGAGTTTGGCCCTTAGGTCCTTCTTCACCAGCATCTGATCTGCTTCTTTCGCAAATGCACAAGCACTCGGAGGGGAGGCAACGAGTCTGATTTTCTTGTGCATGTGCAGTGTGATGGACGCTGCCTGATGCTTATAAAGAGCAAAATTCACACGGACCCTCCAGGTTCTGGACACCGCGGCTGGTCTTTAGACTCACACTACTCAAAGTTGCCAGTGTAGGAAACAGAAGATTCGAGCTCGCCACACGTTGAAGTTCGCCTGCTCTGGCTGAGGCCTGCCGTCCCTCCCGGATTCCAGAGCTGCTTCAAGAAACACGTAGGATGTGCTCTCGGCAGCTCCGTTGGCTGTTTGCAGCTCCTCCAGGCGTGAACTGCTGCAGACCTGCTGGGGACTGCTCTGGGGGTCTCTGCTCAGGATTTCTCCTCTGGTCCCTGCAGAAAGTGAGAGGCTACGGAATGGCGGGCCCGAGAATGGAAGGAACGCGCCCAAAGATGTGATGGCCCTTACTTACCTCCTCGCTCCAGCTGCTTGAGAGTGGCCAACCAGAGAAGTACCAACCTCGCTAGAATTGTTGGGAAACATTCCAGATTTAGTTACTCAACTTGACCTGTGCATTAGAATAACATGTTTTTCTGAATGAGACTCAAGTTGTCAGCCTCTCCTAGACCTAAATGGTGAGGATCACACAGTGCGAGCACTCATTAAGCAGAACAATGCAGCTCATTTACTAATGGGCACACTGTGGCTGAAACTTTGGAAAGAATGCTTACATTTCGCAGGCATTTATATTCTCTCATATTCTTGTTCTATTAAAAATGTCCAAACAAGTTTGGTGTGTGGGAAGGAAGGACACATTAGCGTTAAGTGACGAAAATTCAGTTCGCTAAGCCAGATGAGTTTGTTCAACACATTCCTTCCTCCGTGTTGCAGAAGACAAGGATGTCGAGTGACATGGAGAAGACTGAGTTGTTCCAGGCTTTTCTCCTGGGTGGATAGCAGTGGGTGGTGATGGTGGTGGTGGGTGTGGAGAACCTCTCTCCTTCCATCTGGAAAGGGTCCCAGGCTGAGCAGAGCGGGAGTGCAGAGCCACCCTGCACTCCAGCAGCTCTGGTGTCAACGGCTGTTGCTGTACTCAGTCACCCTCTGTCCCCACCCCATGCTTGGCCTGGTGACCTTTGGGCCAGACTGGAAAGCCACCCTTAAAAACTTGGGTGAAGGTAGACTTTTTGTCCAAGAAGTCCATGGGCACCCAGAGGCAGACTTTTCTAGTAAGTCTTTGAGCAGAGCAAAGCATCATGGCACATGGTGGTAATAAAATCCATGGACAGTCAGACCTGCTAGTGTGTCACCTTCAGCATGTCACCTACTTGCGCCTCCTCAGTTAAAATATTTAGAATCTGGCATCTAATAGACAATAAGTGTTAGCTATTATTACGTCTGCTTAAGTAAGTTGACACAGGCACTGCAGCGTCGGCTCTGTTGCTGTTCTCTGTGAGAGGCCGGGGAGTCAGGCTGGTGTTCGGTAGGGAGGTGTGCTCATGATTTATTTAACCCTTGGCCTTCAGGCCTTGGCAACCCACTCTGGATATGACGCCATGTGCTTGCAGAAGTGACCAGGGCTGGGGTCTGTGGTGGCTGATGAGAAATATCTCCCATGAGAGGGAAGAGAACCTCTGTGTGCATGTACATTTTTTTGTTGTTAATCCTACCCGAGGATATTTTTTCCATTGATTTTTAGAGAGAGTGAAAGGGAAAGAGGGAGAGGGAGAGAAAAAGAAACATCGATGTGAGAGAGACACATTGATTGGTTGCCTCCAGCACGTGCACCTACCAGGGAGGGGATCGAACCTGCAACCCCAGGTACGTGCCCTGGACTGGGATTTGAACCTGAGACCCTTCGGTGCACAGGCCAATGCTCTAACCAGGGCTGTATATATATTTCTGTAGACGGGCCACACATGTCTTCTTCAGCTGTCCTTAGAGCATGGCCTGTCATGTCTGGGCAGGCCTGTGTATTTTATACAGAGATCTGAAAAGGTTCTCAATCTAAGTACTCTGCTGGCAAAACTTAACTCACCCCAAGAAGGCAGTCCCCAGTGAAAAATAGTTCATATTTATTGAGTACCTATTATTTGCAGCACTCTGAGGGCTCTCCTATACCCTCATTTACTCTTTGCAACACTCCAATAAGGTAGTTGCTCATTTTATCTTATTTTTCATATGAGGAAAATGAGATTCAGAAGAGTTAATAAGCTGCCTGAGGTCATACAAAGGGGACCCCACTGGTATTTGAAGCTGGGAAAGTTGTTTTGGTCCTGTCGGCCACTGTAGACAAGAATCACTGTGGAATGAATGACAGCCACAGCCCTGTCCCCCAGTGACGGGTACTCAGATGCTGCTCTGAAGCACAGCGCTGCCCAGTCTATGTTTGGGAGGGTCTGCCCTGTGCTAAACCTCATCGCCGCTAGAAGAGGAGAGCAGCACTGGTTAGCAGCCCTTGTGATCAGTGCACTTCTGAAGTGGAAATAAGGAACAGAAGCAGCACCAAAGAGGGCATGAGGAACTCAGTGAAGGGGGTAATGCTCCCTGGGGAGGTGATTTCTGAGCTAGGTGCTGAAGAATAAATAGGAGTATACCAAGCATACCCTGTGGGCACAACAAGCAGAAAAAATAGCATGCAAAGGGACCGAGGTAGGAAACAGCAGGGGATTTGGAGGTGGGGTATGCAAGTCCTTTAGCATAATGAATGAAGGGCGCAGGAGGAAACACCGTGTGTGTCAAGTCCAGAGGAGTAGAAGAGCTAGAAGACAGAGGACCTGTTTGCCACACCAGGAAGCCTGACTTTTCTGAACGTGTAAACAATTTAATACAGTTTTAAAACAAGGTTAAGATCCCCAAACCTGATGCAATTAGTAGTACTGTTTTCCCCCTGGCTTTATTATTACAATTATTAAAAGGGAAGATTACAAAAGTCAGTAAGTTTCGTATCTGATGTGGGTTGCCATTGCACTAAAGAATGTTGTTTTTAAATTTCCACTCGTTTCTCCATTTTTTTCATCAGTAATTCTCTTTCGCAAATGTTATTTTCAGATGCCAGGATAAGTACTTTTGAGAGTTTTTTTTTTAATGTTTTTTTAAGTGGCCTTTGATTGCATAAGAGCATCATGTAGAACCATTTCCAGTAGTATCTTTATAGCAGGAATGGAGGCTAAGACTGATTATGTAATTGTTCCTTTAATTTATTCTCAGAACCTAACATGCTGCCAGCATTTTAAAAAAACCTAATGATCATAATGGCATCTGAGTGTCTTTCCTACTCATGGTTTCTGGCACCATTGCTCTTGCCTTGTATACTGCAGAGTAGAAGTCAGTGGTTTAAATGTGGCATGCCTGTTGGCTCAGCACTGGGCACCCCGGACTCATGGCTCTGTTTCTCCATCTTGCATGTGCAGCCCACAGCCAGCAAACCTCACCAGAGAAGGGATTCATATTCTCATTAAAGGCCCTCGCCAGTGTCTCGCATGTTAACCTTTGAGTAAGAGGCAGCATATGCTGCTGTGCTGAGGCTGCATTTTGCAAGGAGCGCGGAACACCATCTGTCAGAGGAGGTGGTGGGAGTGCAAGTACTGCTGTGAATTCCATGAATGCTTAATTGCTAGAGAATTTTTTAATTTAAGAGTCTTTGCATTTAGCTTGTTTGTTTGTTGTTTGTTCTTTATTTTTTTATTTTTTAGAATAGTCCTTATCAGTGGCAGAAGATCCTTCTGTAGTATATTTTCGGTGCTGCCGTATCGCGACAGCGCCCACGCCGGGTATGTATATGCATGCTTGCTTTGTAGTTCTCTGGGTGAAAAGTTGTGATACTGTGTGACTAATGTGCTACCCTTTCCATTTCAAACAACTTGCCTTGCTTTGACACTGCAAATTCGGTATTTGTAAATTTTAAAGAAAAAAAAATAGTTCTCCCTTCTTTTCAGCCAGAAAGCTTCCTTGCTTCTTTGTGTGTATGTGTGCGCGCATGTGTGCCCTTACCATATTGCCTGTTGTTCCTAAACACGCATTTTGGCATCTCTTCCACTACTGTAAAGCAAGAAAATACAGGGCCCACCCCATTCCATGGGGCTGTGTCCACTTTTGGAGAAAGGTAGGTCAGGAAAGGGATTACACAAACCATGTCGCCATCCTGTCTCCTTGTATCGTGGGCTTGGGGCTGGAAACTGACCTGTAAGCCCGAGCAAATGTCAAAGCAAAGTGGCACCAGAAATAGGCTTACGTGATTTGCAACAGGCCAGAGGAGCAATCGCCTCTCTAGATCAACGAGCCCCCCCTTTGGCTGTGGAAAAAAAGGAGGTAGGTGAGGCCCTGACCTTGCAAAGCTGCCCCTCCTCATTCCCCATCGCCAAACTCTGTGCTCATTTCCTCCTCTGAGTCACGCTCCCTGTCCCCTCACCTGTTCCCTGGCTCTGGGGTGTGTTGTCAAGGAGCTACTGGTATTTAGGGCAGGATGCTGGAGCATTGTGGGATGTTGGCGCTGGCTTCTGCGAACTAGTGCTGGGATTGCCCTCTGGTTGTCGTGACAGCCACACACTATCCACACAAGACCATGGTCCGATGGGAGGGCACTTTGGCCCCTGGTGCTGATTCACCATTTACAGTAGTCCCCCTTATCCACAGGGGGGAGATACATTTTAAGACCCCCCCCAGTGGATGCCTGAAACTGCAGGTAGTACCAAATCCTGTATACACTGTGTTTTTTCCTATATGTATTTACCTATGATAAAGTTTAATTTATGAATTAGGTACAGTAAGAGATTAACAACAATAACCAATAATAAAATAGAATAATTATAACAATATACTGTAATAAAAGTTACGTAAATATGGCATTAAGTAAAATAAGAGTCACTTGAATGCAAGCACTGTGATTCTGGGGCAGTGGGTTTGGTAACTGAGGCAGCTATCAAGTGATTAATAGGCGGGGAGCATATACACTGGACAAATGGATGATTCACATCCGGCTGAGATGGAGCGGGACAGTATGGATTTTATCATGCTGCTGAGAATGGCACGCAATTTAAAATTTATGAATTGTTTGTTTCTGGAATTTTCCATTTAATATTTTCAGACCACAGTTGACCATTGGTAATTAAAACCACAGGAAGCGAAACCACGGGTGAGGGAGGACTGCTGTATTTCAGGAAGGGTCACCTATAGGATTATTAGGAGATTCATCTACTGTGCAGATTGTCTGCAGATAAAAAAGCAAAATGAATGTGAGGAATCGTAGGACATAACCTTTACATCTTGGACATGAAGAAACAAACTCACCACTCTTTCAGGAAAGTTAATTTTCTATAACAAAACACATAGTCAAATCCTTTGTAATACCTAACAGAGAAAAGAAATGTCTGTCTTGGCAACATATGCTATTTAAGTCCTCACATAAGAAACTGAGCACAATTTCAGAACATTGTAATTGAGCAGCGGGATTAAGAAGCGTTCTGCTTTTTAAATGTTTTAACTAGCAGATATCCTATTTATGAATAACTTCCATTTATCATAATTATGATTTTTAAACTAATTATTGAGAAACAATTATGCTCAAATGATAAAAAGATTTATACTATAGTAAATTTATACATGTATATGTTTAAACTACTTTAGTTCATGCACATATTAACTAACACCGTTTTCACTGTGGAAAATTCTTTTACTTTTATGCTAAAACTCTCTGTGTGACCAAGACCTAAGTCTTAGAATTTCAGGGGTGGCGAGGACTCTAGAGATGATGTGGTATGGCTTCCCCGCTTCACAGCTCAAGCCCTTAGGCACAGGGGGTGAAGCTCCCCAACTCCCCCAGCAGAGGCAGCAACACCAGAACCCAGGACTCCGGCCACCCGGGCCTGTTGACTTTGTGGTTTTTAGCTCCCATGTTCCCCTTGTACTTATGCACGTGGACTAGGCCACATGTCCCCAATTATTCCAGACAAGCGCAAACCACCCTACTGATGGGTCAATGTACAGTTCCAACGTCATCACAAGGAAGTTTTAAAAACAGGAAACTCAAAAGTTCATCCATTGTCTACTTGAACCTCCTTTGCATGGAAAGCATCTATCAGGATGACCTTATCTCTTTCCGCTCTTGTTTTCTGGCTTCTCATGCTGCCCTGGAGCTTCCTAAGTCCCACTCTCGCATCTTGGCCTGCCCTCACTCCCTCCCTGACCCCAAAGCTTTGTTCTTGGTTTTAAACTGAACTAAACTTAAATTTTGGCTCCTGACATCTGCTGAGCAAAGCAGACAGGCCAATCGTAGGAGAGGTTTCACCATTCATTCATTCATTCATTCATGCATTCAGTCATTCAGCACTTCTTCTGCCCCTGGGGAGCACAAGGCCCTGTTGGATGCTGGGAGGGTGCAGGGATGAGTAAGAACTGCTCTCCAGAAGCTAATCACCCAACAAGGAAGCCAGACATGCAAATAGCCAGGCCGAAAAAATAGGGGGGAGAGGGGGTTGGCTAAGAAGCACTACAGAATTTTTTGACCATCCCAAATCTTTATCAATGTCCACATTTACAATAAATCTGCATCTTCAGTGAAAGCCAGACATTTGCAATGTAAAGTCCCATTATCCCCATCCACCCCTCAAGGTACACTGCTTGCCTCCCGTGTAGAAATTCAGGTGCTGCCACTGTACAGCAGAATTCGCTCATTCTATAGGATCGATTGGACCTACTGGGTGCCAGCACTGCTCTTGGCAATAGAGAGAGAGTGGTGAACAAGAAAATGCCTCGTTTCTCATTGAACTTACCTTCTAGTGGTAGGAGACAGAAACCAGCTAGTAAACAAAATAACTGTCAAGCAAAAGAGCAAACAATTCAGTAAGTCCTAAGCAGTGTGCAGGTAGAGCATTGAGGAAGGGGTCCGGTAAATTCAGATGGAGGAATCCAGGAGCGCTCCCCAGAAAAGGTGGCTCTCCAGCTAGATGTAGAAGTGTGAGGTCTTAGAGAAGCGAAAGAGGGTATTCCAGCCTCATCTTTGACTTCTGAAGATGTCAGAAGATGAGGGATCTGGCTCCTTGTGAACTTCTGGGTGCTGTCTCTATAATGCCTGATGTGCCGAGAGAATTAAGTAAATCCCCCCCAGCTGTAATCCCATTGCTGGCCAGCACGGCTGTGTTCAGGAGGGGATGGAGACAGAAGTGAGTTAACGCTGGAAGACCAGGTCCTGGTCCTGAGAATAGAGCGTATTTTCTTAAGATCAGCTGATCATGTAGTCAAACCTATGTGTGCACATGACACATAGAGGTAATAGTATACGCGGAAACACAAAATGAAACCTCGGTTCTAGGACATCTCCCATCTCGACCAATTTGCATCTCAACCTGACAACTCTGTCATGTTGATACCTGCATGACCAGTCACACGCCTCTCAGGCGACAAAGGAGAGAATGGGCGAGTATGAGTCAGTTTACCGCTAAACACGTTAACATCTGTTTTTTTGCTTTTGTTGCTGCTTATTATTATTAAATTTTCATTTTTTACTGTACATTTCATTTCCTTTCTGTTAAATTTTCATTTACATTTCATGTCCTTTTTGCTTTTAAAGTGTTTGTTTATAGATTAAACAGTACATTAGACATGAACCATATATAAGAAAGGTTAAAACAGAATCATTTGGGGGTCTGGAATAGATTAATTCAATTTACATTATTTCTAATGGGAAAAAATAATTCTGTTCTTGAACAGCCTTCCAGAACAAATTAAGTTTGAGAACCAAGGTTCCACTGTAATGCATCCAGAATGTCAGGCACTGTTGTAAGTGCTTTATATACATTTGTTCATTTAATCTTCACAACCACCTCATAAACTAGGCTCTCCGATGATCATTTTGCAGATGTGAGGCTTGAGCAAGGAGAGTCAGAGCAGCAGCGGCAGAGGTAGGAGGCAGGCTGGCTGCTGGCTCTGCGAGGTGCACTGTTCTCTGCTTTGGGGCCAGCTGGCTCCGCAGAGAGTCCCTGAAGCACTGACGCTCACCTGACTGCAGTGTATCTCCCTTCACCACCACCCTTTTGGGGCTGGACTTGCTGGTTCGAGTCCAAAGAAAAGCAGGTGGCACCAGCCGACGGGTGTGCATCTCGGTGATGACAGAGCTCCCTGCATGTGCCACGGGAGGGTTGCCTCCTGGGGACCCAGTGGCCAAGGTGCTGGGTGGTGGCCTTTGATGGCTTTGGAGGTTGCCGGTTTATACTGAAGCTTGGGCTCCTCCAAGGACAAACCCCAGGCATCTTTGGGTAGAGTCTTGAGTGAAAAATAATCTGTGTAATTCCCGCATCTGGGTATTTATTGGTTATAAACAGGAAGGCGTGAATTATGGAATTAGAAAGTAGCAGAGGTCACATTCTCTAGTGCATGGGCTTCACCGGTTCATGACCTTAAAATGCTGCTTGCTTGCCTGTCCCCAGCACCTTCCCAGCCACACCTAGGTCACCCCACAAGCACCAGAGGGAATCAATTAGGGACTGATAAGGTCTTCCTCCTGTCTTTACACCATGCTCCTCTTTGAGAAAGTATTCAAAAGTTCCATGCAAGGCTGTTACTCACAGAGCCAAACATACCTTCACAAGAGGATTGGTGACAAGGATGTTTAAAATGAAGGACTTTCCTTCTTTCTTAATAAGCTTTCTTATTTCATTTCTTAAAATACTGCCTGATTTACAGTTTGTGCTTTTCTCAGGAAATCATCTGTTAATAAAATGAGGTGCTTCTAATAACTGTCCCTTCTTCCCATTCTTTCACTTTAGGAATTCAGTCT